AATTGTTGCATTATTTTTCTTGCCCTGAGAAGAATGTTGTTGGGATTCTGATTGGGATTGCATTGAATCTGCATGTACGTTTTTTAATATGGACATTGTGATGATGCTGATCTGTTGGTCCAGGAACATGGTAAATTTCTCCGTCTTGTAATGTCTTCTTCTATCTCTTTTTTTAAAGTTTGTAATCTTCATCATAGAGGTCTTTCACATCTTTGGTTAGGTTTGTTTCCAGCTATCTAAGCTTCTCTACTATCTTAAAAGGGACTGTTTTACAAGTTGGTTCTCATCCTAAGGGTTGCTGGTGTATACTATGATCATTGACTTTTGTTCATTGATTTTGTACATTGTGGATTTCACATGTGAAGAAGAACTTCACAAGCTTAAAGACTTTGTCCAATATCAAAAATAATGATGCTCACTTGCTTCATGTTTCATTAATTTTGTATGAATGCTCCAACAAGAATGAAGGTGTTTCTACACACATCAAACTGTCCTCAGAATGTTTGTACTTACTGGTGGGTACTGGACACCCGCCAGTTTGCGAGGTTTCCCAGGAGCTGGGGCTATGGAGACCATGGTGGAAGTCTAACATAAGAACCCAGACCTGGAACTTGCTGGAGGGAGTGGCACAGGTGACTGCAAACAAAGAGCCATGTGCCAACTGCAGTAAGTAAAATCAAACTGTAGACCTGTGAGTGAGAGAGCTTAGAAACCTGCCCCAAGGAGAAGAATCTAACTAGAAGTACAATAACCAAGAGCAAAAGAAGAGACAGAGGCACAATGAATATTATTGAAAACTCCCCTGCAAAGGAGCAAAACTGTTTACCAACCTCAGAGTTCACCAAGGAAGACACTGAGAAAATGGGACATACAGAATTCAAAACACTTGTTATAAAACTTCTTAACAATGAGAAGCACATAAAGCAGGCCTTCAAGGAATTGAAAGAATGTGTCACACTGAAAATGAATCAAATGAAATCTGATATATCAGAAATGAAGAACACAGTGGAGCAAGTTAAAAGTACAGTGGAGACTCTCCAAAATAGAATGAAGGAGGCAAAAGAAAGAATCTCAAAATTAGAAGATATTTCCTGTCAGCAGGAGGAAACATACAAAAAACTGGAAGCAGAGCTGGATCAGGCCAAAAAAAAAGTATTCAAGAATTGAAAGACACTATTAAAAGGCCAAACGTAAGAGTTATGGGAGATGCAAAACAAATGTATTTAATGAAATAATAAGGGAAACCTTCCCTAATCTAGAGAATTAATTGGGAAACAATATCCATGGGAGGGGCACAGAACTCCCAAAAGGCTTGACCAAAAGCGATCTTCACCACGACACATGATAATCAAGCTTTCCTCAATCAAACATAAATAAAAGATCCTTAAATGTGCACGTGAAGAAAATCAGCTGACATATAAAGGATTGCCAATTAAACTCACAGGAGATCTCACAGGAAACTCTACAGGCAAGAAGAGAATGGAGTGACATATTCCAGATTCTAAAAGAAAAAAAAAATTGTCGGTCCAGGATTACATACCCAGCAGAACTTTCCTTTGTCTTTGAATATGAAATAAAATTCTTCCACAGTAAAGAAAAGTTAAAAGAATTTGCCTCTTCCAAACCTGCCCTACAAATGATAAAGATATTCTCCTGACAGAGAAAAAAGAAATATCGCCCACCAAAACCAAAGGCAAATGAGAAGAATATCCCAGTAAAATAACAACAGAAGACTAAATCAATGAACAACCCATTGCTAAAATGACAAGACCAGATTACCACCTATTTATATTAATCCTGAATGTAAACAGCTTAAACTCATCAATCAAACATCATAGATTAGTAGACTAGATTAAATAAATAAAACCCATCTATTTGTTGCCTACTGGAGACACATTTTATCAACAAAGATCAGCAGAAACTGTATCTCATGGATTTTGATTTTTTTTGTTAGTTTCATCTCTTCAAAACACTTTTTCTTATTCAATTCTTCACTGACTCAGAGATCATACAGCAGCATCATTTTCTTCAAGGAAGTTCTTGATTTTCTTTTTCATTTCTTCAGCGACACATTAGCCATACGGCAGCATGTTATTTAACTTCATGGTGTTGTTAATTTCTTTTTTCTTTCAGATGTTGATTTTGTATTGTGGCTTTTTATTTAAGGGGATATATAGTAGGTCTGTAATGGAGACTAGCATATCTAACAGCATGTAATTTAACTTGATGGTATTGTAAATTTCTAATTTTCTTCCTGTTGATTTTATACTGTGGCTTTTGATTTAAGGGGATGTATAGTAACTGTGTAATGAAGACTATCATATCCAGATGTGAGGATACAATACAGTTTGCATCTCTACTTTCAGACAAAGATGGACTCCCAATGAAACTGTTTGCTATATCGTGACAATAGAATGCTGAACTCTCTGCCATTGTCCATGCCCGCAATGAGGGACATGTGACTGTGTTTGGGGAACTGTGCTATGGTAATGATATAGGGGAATTTAGTGAATTGGGAAATCCCAGGGCTTATCAAACTTTATCATGAAATGATAATGATAAAAATATTTTAAAAAATAAAATCTCAAAAAGCAAAGTGAAAATTAAATAAATTTTTTAAAAAGGGGAAGGGTTCCAGTGGCACCCTGATCTCCAGTGCAGACGGTGTGAGGCAGTCATGGAGGAGTGACTTAGTGAATGTACAGGTCAAATCACTAACAGTGTTCCTTATAGGAGGAAATGAGCAGATTCAGGGTTAGCCCTGGAAGTTGGAAGAGAGATTTCCACCTGCTGCTGAAGTACTCTCATGTTGTGTTCATGAGTGTAAGTCAGAGAAATTCTTAGCAAGACACTGGATCTGACACCTCTACATGCATTTGTAACAGGCACAGGCTGTGCTGAATTGTCACAAGTGACCAGACAGGGAACCATGAGAGCTTGTCTGTGTCCTCAGCTTCTTTGGGTGGTTCTAAGGATCAGGTTTATTGAGAGTTGTAAAAAGAATGAGAAGAGAGAATGGCCGTGCAAATGAAGGGAGATGGGAGTCAAACAACAAGAGCCATTAGAAATGAGGGCCAGGAGTTGAGTATCCTGGAGGTGGAGAATCTGCAGTGCAGCCACGAATGATGATGTCTCAGATGGGCATGATGAGAGGACTTGGGATGCAATCTTTCACAAACACAGACCTGGAATGGCGTTTGAGGCCACCAGGATGGAGCCCCAAATTAATCCCAGGTGCTCACAAAATGTGAGGTTATACCTGGAATACAGAAATTTACCAGGAGAATTTAGCTGAATTTTCTGCCGAGTGGACAGGGCTTGGTAAGGAAGCAGCAGGTGTAGCTCTCTGAGAAGTGGCTCTTCCACACCAGCTGTGAAGCCGTACGTTTTCAATAATTCCTTTTGGTCTGTAAAGCATTTTGTGTATATCACATCATGATATTCACAATATGGCAGGGTATTTAAACCCCAGTTTGCCAACTGAAAAACTGGAATTAAATGGCCTGCCGGGGTCTACATATATCCAACTTAAGAAGCTGTGTGGATGTTGGGCATAGAAGCATACCCCAAGGCTTATCAACCCCTATACATTGAAGTTCAGGATCAGGTGACTGTTCTCCGCGGGAGCTGCCCTGTGCAAGGAGGTTGCTTAGCAACATCTCTACACATCCACTGTGACAACTACAGATGAATGCTGCCACTGCCCATTGTTCCCAGAGGGCACCATCAGTCCTGTTGAGAACCATGCTCTGAATTATATAAAATGTTTCCTATTTAATAGCATAAAATATGTAACATAATAGGTGGCTCTCATTTTTAATACCAGTAAATCGTGTTCTGCCAGAAGTACAAAGTGGATAATTAGGTAGTGCTTCAGTGACACAACTGAAAGCTGTTCAGTTGTTTCGGTGTTGCCACGTAGGCCAGCCTTCTGAACAAGATTCTGTGAGAACTCAGAATTCTGCTGGATGCCTAGAGATTTCATCATCATCGTTGGACATTCAAAAGGCCCTACAGGATACGTGCCTCTTTGGGGGTCGTCTGGTCTCAGAGCCCCAGCCCTCTTGCTCATGGCTTTTCTCCTAGTCTGAGTCTTTTACCCCCTGTTGCTGTCAGTCTGTGCTGGGTCTCTGGCTGTAATTGCCAGAGGATTGGGAGTGCGTGTGTACGCTCAGACTCCCCTGAGCAAGTCAGCTGCTTCTCCTGCCTCCTCCAGCTCTGTCCTGGTCCACACCAGGCAAAGGGCCACCCTGATTACCTTGACCAGAGCTGCTTCTTCAAGAGCCAACTAGGGAAACTGGTGTGCCGTGTGATGGACTTTTGGCTGAAATGGCTTCTTTGGACCCTCTGGGTGCCCATACATAACAGGTGGAGAGAAGCAACCAAACTCTTTTGTTCTCCCAAAATCAAGTCTCCTACAACATGCTAGAATACTAATAACACAGCCAAGAACGTCATTTCCATGTATCCTAAGTAAACTGTGGTGGAGAAAGTTGTCCCTTGGAGAACCTGGAGCCAATTGTTCCTGTCTTCCCTTCGTTCTGATGATTTCAAACTAAACTGCAGAAATTACCTTCAGAGTCCCTTTGATAGGGTGACCCCTGAATTGCTCAAACTAAAATCATCCTTCATTATTGAAATGTCTTAGAGCGTTCTGTTGAATTTGCTGAGTGTTTTTGTGCAAGGTAGAACCACATGAATGTAAGTCTTTCCCATTTCCTGACACTCAGGATCAAAGAGAGGCATCGTTCAGTGAATGTGCAGAATGAGAGCAAGGGGTGTCCCTCGGTGAATGTGCAGAATGAGAGCAAGGGGTGTCCCTCGGTGGATGTGCAGAATGAGAGCAAGTGGCTTCTGGACTTGAACTTGTATGTCACATGAACACTAAGATCTGAAGACAGTCCTTTCATGAATACGTTGAAACTCTAGGCAAATCAAATTGTTCTTTAAAGGAATTGTCATGATTAATCATCAGTAATTATTCTTTTCTGTTGTTATAGGTAATGTATGAAATTGATGGAGCAATTGAAAAAAATAAAGACTCCCTTTCACAGAATCTCCTTTTTTTAATGAAAAGTAAGTTGGTTTGTTCCTCCTTTACATTGGCTAAAATGTTAACGTCCATTATTTCTTTATCCCTGAGTATTTTCCTATAAAATATGATAGCTGCTCAAGAATAATCTTCCACATTCCAATGCTTAGAAATACAAGGAATGGCTCCTTGTCACACTGCATTGGCTACAATTTAATTTGGAATCCAGTAGACATCATGATTTAACTAAGCTTTTAGCAGATAGAAATGTAAAACACCTTTACTACTTTAGTGGTAGGAATATAAAAAAGCTTTTCTCTGAAGACTAATGAAGATGAATATTGCTTCCAAAGTTATTTAGGCTGCATTGTGGTGAATTTCATTAGTTACGAGGACTGGTGCAAGACTAAAGATGGCATTTTATTCTTAGATACATTCAGTTATAAAGTATTAATGTTCATGGAGGAGAAAGAGTGTATAAATTTATATGTATGTGCTTATAACATAATGTAAGTATCTGTATTATACACACATACAAATATCAGTAATATTAGTAAGTGGAAGAGACCTAGGTACATATGAATATAGAATCACCTTCTATTTTGTGAACATTATTATGTATCTTCTATCATTTTAGATTTTATATAAAACAGGAGTAAATTTACAAACACTATAGTTATGCATGCATATATATAATTTTTTGTACTATAGCAATTGTTTTCTCAATAGCAGCTCCACAGTGATTCTCATTATTTTTATAATCTTTTTGAACAAAAGGATATCTTTTTTATGTTTGAAGGTATTCTAAAGGAGACTGCATCATTTCTCCTTCCAAGGAAAAGGAGCACATGGGGTGTTTTAGGATGTCGTTTGTTGCCTTCGACAGGAAGCAGCACGTGGGGTGTTGTGTGAGGTGGTTGGTTGCCTTCGACAGGAAGCAGCATGTGGGTTGTTGCGTGAGGTGGTTGGCTGCCTTCGACAGGAAGTAGCGCGTGGGGTGTTGTGTGAGGTGGTTGGCTGCCTTCGACAGGAAGCAGCACATGGGGTGTTGTGTGAGGTGGTTGGCTGCCTTCGACAGGAAGCAGCACGTGGGTTGTTGCGTGAGGTGGTTGGCTGCCTTCGACAGGAAGCAGCACGTGGGGTGTTGTGTGAGGTGGTTGGCTGCCTTCAACAGGAAGCAGCACGTGGGGTGTTGTGTGAGGTGGTTGGCTGCCTTCGACAGGAAGCAGCACGTGGGTTGTTGTGTGAGGTGGTTGGCTGCCTTCGACAGGAAGCAGCACGTGGGGTGTTGTGTGAGGTGGTTGGCTGCCTTCGACAGGAAGCAGCACGTGGGGTGTTGTATGAGCCGGTTGGCTGCCTTCGACAGGAAGTAGCGCATGGGGTGTTGTGTGAGGTGGTTGGCTGCCTTCGACAGGAAGCAGCACATGGGGTGTTGTGTGAGGTGGTTGGCTGCCTTCGACAGGAAGCAGCACGTGGGGTGTTGTGTGAGGTGGTTGGCTGCCTTCGACAGGAAGCAGCACGTGGGGTGTTGTGTGAGGTGGTTGGCTGCCTTCGACAGGAAGCAGCACGTGGGGTGTTGTGTGAGGTGGTTGGCTGCCTTCAACAGGAAATAGCGCATGGGGTGTTGTGTGAGGTGGTTGGCTGCCTTCGACAGGAAGCAGCACGTGGGGTGTTGTGTGAGGTGGTTGGCTGCCTTCGACAGGAAGCAGCATGTGGGGTGTTGTGTGAGGTGGTTGGCTGCCTTCGACAGGAAGCAGCACGTGGGGTGTTGTATGAGCCGGTTGGCTGCCTTCGACAGGAAGCAGAGTGTCAATACCCCTTGTGGCTGGAGGAGCATCCTCAGCCTGTCATCACAGCAGGGCGGTAGTGGTCTGCTGCTCTTTCTAGAGATCGCTCGCTTGCCTCGCAGAGCACAGGGTTGCTCTGAGTTCTCTTAGCTGAGGCTTGTGACAAACATGCACCTTCAGAAATGCCATGTAGAAAGATAGAATTAAAATAATGGATTTTACTCATTAGCATGGGAAATATCTTCCTTCTAGTTTGCAGTTAGTGGAATGTTCATCTGTAATACTCATCTCTTTGGAACCAGTCTTCCATGAGAAACAAATATATAGAGTGTTTTAGAAGTTGGCGCGGTGCCTCCTTCTTTCTTGTAGTATTTCTGGTGATAGAATATATTTAAACGATCTCTTTAATGATCAACCTTGATACGACAAGTCTGCTTATCTTAAAAGAGTGCCTATATTGTACTTATTCTTTTGTGTGTGTTTGCTAACAAGTTCCACGGTAGAATGAGTGAATCTTACTTTATTCTAAGCAAGAAGACAGAACTTACAATATGTTCTTCTGTGTTTGTGTAAGAGGTGGTAAGTGTTTTCTGTGAGTTGCTGGACAATCTGTATTTTAAGCTTTGGGAGCCGGGAGGCTGTGAGTTCTCTGCCATAGGTTCTTAGAGTTTTGTCACAGTGGGAAAGCTGTGGACAACAAATGCACAGTGCCTGGGTTTCTGCAGAACCTTGTTTATGGAAGCTCATGGGGAGCCACATCTGGTCCTCGGCATTAGCATTCCCATTCTATCAAAAAGGAAAAGATGCATGCTTCTTGTAGCACTTTTGTAAATTGTGGTAGGTTTTGATGCTGTAGAAAGTTACTGAAAGCAAGTATAACTTTTAATGTAAATGGCTTTTTTTTCCTATTTGAGAGGCAGAAAGACAAAGAGCCCCCCAATGCTAGCTTACTCCCTGATGCCCACAGTAGCTAGAACTGGTTCTAGCCCAAGCCAGGGAGCTAGGAATTCCATGCAGGTCTCCCACATGATGGGCAGGAGCCCAGTTACTTGAGCTATCTCTTGCTGACAGGCTCTAAATTGGCAGGAAGATGGATATTGGAGTTGGAACTGGGTATTGATCCCACATAGTCCAATGATAACCCCAAGTTCTTTGTATGTACTTCGTTTATGCCATCTTCTTATCCAAAATGTTCGCAGCTGGGAACAGTGGGAGGATCTGTTGTGAGATCTGAATCAGTGACTGCATCTCCCATGTTGGCAGCGCGGACTGGGGTTCTTGTGCCATTGCTTGCTGCCTCTCGGGTGTGTGATAGCAGGACGCTGAGCTCAAGAGCAGAGTTGAGACTAAAACTTTAGCACTCTGAGAGGGGATGTAAATGTTCCAAATGATATTTTGTCATTGTGCCAAATACCCACCCCTGCCTGGGCCTGCAGGTGAAGCCAGTGTGACTCAGAAAGAAGCCAGAAAAGGCAAGGTTCAGTCCCAAGTCTGCTCCTAAGCACAGCAAAATCTGTAATTCACTGTCAGTGCTTGGGGTTTGCACGTAGAGGGTTGGAAGTTGTGAGCACCTCAGTCAGCATGTTCCATGGGGGCTGAAGATCCAAGGAGGACTGCTTCCCAAGTGTGTGAGCAGTTACAGTGACATGAGGAAGTAGCCATGAGTGACTCCTTTAAGAGCAAGGGCAGGACGAAGCTGCCTTGTTGTCAGGTGCTGTGCCAGGTCCTAAGAACCAGAGGAAGGCAGAACGTCGCTTACTCTCTTCTGCTACCCATATTGGTGGCCCGCAGTGGTGCCTTGCTGTGTTAGCAGATGACACAGATCCTGCTGTGTCTTCGTGCGCCTGGACCGTGTGCTTTTTGGGAAAGGTAGAAATAGAATAGTTAGGTGAAGATTCAAAAGGTTACAGACGGGCCTGGTGCGGTGGCCTAGCTGCTAAAGTCCTCACCTAGACCACGCCAGGATCCCAAATGGGCGCCAGGTCTAATCCCAGCAGTCCTGCTCCCATCCAGCTTGCTGCTTGTGGCCTGGGAAAGCAGATGGGGATGGCCCAAAGCCTTGGGACCATGCACCCATGTGGAAGACCAGAAAGAGGCTCCTGGCTCCTGGCTTCAGATTAGCTTAGGTCCACTTGCAACCACTTGGGGAGTGAATCATTGGACAGAAGATCTTCCTTTCTGTCTCTCCTCCTCACTGTATATCTGACTTTGCAATAAAAATGAATAAATCTTATAGAAAAAATTAAATAATAAGCTTATTTTTAGTACAAAGATTTTTGAAATCCATGCATTTGAGGAAGTCTTCAAAAAAGTTCATAGAAAATTTGTATTATGAAAAATCTATTCATAAATTCTAATGTTTTTATTTATTTACTTTCACTTCATTGGAATGCAGAGGGACAGAGGCAGAGATCTTTCAACGTGCTGGTTCACTTACCAAATGCCAGAAGCAGCCATGGCTAAGCCAAGTTAAACTGAGAGCATGGAACACCATCTGGGTTTCCCATGCGTCTGGGAGGCACCCAGATACCCGAACCATCGTCTGTGAGCTTCCTGGGTGAGCATTAGCATGAAGCTGAATTAGAAGCAGAGCAACCAGGACTCAATCAAGGCATCTTACAGGCTGCCAGCATCTCAAGCAACGCTCTCATGATACGACAAACACCTGCCTCCATGCATAAATTTCAAATCTTTGGGCTCCAAAACAAACTTAACCTTAATTTTTTCTCTTAATTTTGTTTATTTGAAAGATGGAGAGAAAAAAGTCAGAGAGACAGTGATAGTCTTTAAAAAATATTTATTTTATTGTTGCTGGAAAGTCAGATTTACAGAGAGAAAAAGATGCAAAGAGAAAGATTTTCCATTCACTGGTTCATTCCCCAAGTGGCTGCAACTGAGCCAATCTGAAGTCAAGAGCCAGGATCTTATCCAGGTCTCCCATGTGGGTACAGGGTCCCAAGACTTTGGGCTGTCCTCAACTGCTCTCCCAGGCCATAAGCAGAGAGCTGGAGGGGAAGTGGAGCTGCCGGGACTCGAACTGGTGCCTATGTAGGATCCTAATAGCAGTTGCAAGGTGAAGATTTAGCAACTAGGCGGTCATGCCAGGCCTGAGAGAGATCTGTCCACTGCCCCACTCCCAAAATATCTGCAGTTGCTGGTGCTACCAGGCCAAAGGCGGAACTCAATCCAGGAGCCCCTTGTGAGTGGTTGGTGCCTCCCAGAGCCACAGCAGTTGGAAAGGAAGTGAAGCTGGGTCTTGAACCAGGAGCTTTTGTGAAATGCAGGAACGCCCCAAGGCATCTTAGTTATTGCACCCATTGTCCACTCCCAAATTCATCTGTCCGTTCCATCTTCATGGGCTTTTGGAAGTATCCGCACCTGTTCTGGTCCATGTTCGTGTTTAGTGTTTTCCATTTCATTGTAGACTTTTTTTCAATCCCAAGAATAACATGTAGCATTGTAAGTTAATTCATATATAGGCTTGCTTATATGTAAATAATAATTATTACCTAGTTAAATGGCTTATGGTATGTTTATTGTTTAGCTGTTATTTTGAAGTCATTTCAAGCTTAAATAAAAACTAGCACAAAAATTTGAACGTACTCTGCCCAAACTAGTCATTTTTCATCATCTTTCTCTCTTCCCCCCTCTTTTCAATCTCCCTTTCCCTGCGTGAACCACTTAAGAATAAGTTGCCTGTTCTTTCATATCAAGATAGTTGGCATCCATAGAAGCAGAAGGAACAGCATGTTCCGTAACTCAGTAAATTATCAGAATAGCCAAATTTGATATAATAACGATCTCACTGCTCTTTTATACTGATTTTCTCTTCAGTTAGGATCATCCATTGCATCTACTTTTCGCTTCTCTCCGGCTGTATATGTGTGCGCGTGTCCTGTGGCCTGTTTGCTTTTCTCTATATTCCGGAAAGGTTTTTTTATTAAAAAATTGTGATACATACACAAATTGTGTTACCAAGTGATACATGATGGCTATATGAACACATTTTGCAATATCAAATTATGGCAAATATGCTTAGTATCTTCTCAGACATTTAGAATTATAATAATAAGCATCTCAAATACTAGGTTCTGGGCTTTTTAAATAGGGAAAGAACTTGTGCACTACCGTGGACTGTGCTATTCCATGGCACCCTGGTGGTTTGCCTGTCCAGCTGTAAGCTAGTGCCTGGGCACCAGCCCTGCCCCTGTCCACTTCCATTCCCCAGCTCCAAGGTCCATCATTATGTCTTTAAATGCTAGGGGATATCCTATTTCATTTTATACTCTATATGTGGTGAATATCATGTGATATTTTTTTGTGATTACCTTTATTCACCAGTTCTAATCTCATATTTATTATTGCCGATCTGGCAGTGAGGGTTGTTTTCCTGTCTCAGTGTGGGAAGACTTCTCTTGCCGCAGAATCCTTCACTTGCTGCCTGCAGGAAAGAACAGGCCAGAGGCCCCGACTGAAGTTACGGTTCCTCCAGTGTTTCAGCACGAGAAAGTCCGTGTAGCTATCTGCATGTTTTACTTAATGCCTTTAATAGTTCTGTGTACCGTGAGCCCCTCACTTACTTGTTTATTATCATGCAGTCTTATTCCCAACCCATTATTATCATTTCTTTTGATGCCAAAATTGTCCAAAACTTGGCCATTTAAAATGCTCCTGGCCATGTCCCGTGTCCTTGGGACAGGTTTTCCATGCTGTTTCTACAAATATTGGCAGCTGGTCTCCCCACACTCTTCTGGAATAATCTCCTTAAGCTTCAATCTAATGTCAGCCATTAGAAGAAACAAAGGCTGGGGTTGGTGGGCTCGTGGCTGCTGGGGTGCCACTGCTTGGAGGGCTGCTCGGAACCCGGAAGTGTAAGATGATAGATGGCAATTATGTAGAGATACGTAGCTGTGTTAAGGACTGTGCAGCTCTGGACGCCTCCAGCTCTTGCTCTGCACCCCCGGTTCCTTCTTACTTGTGGTCTGTGAGTGTAACCCCTTCTTTGACCCCTCTCTGCATGGTCATCAATGCAGTGAGTTTTCACTGAAAGATGCAGAGAGATGCATGGTGTAAGAAAGATAGAGATTAAGCTGCTGTGCTAGTCCAGTGTCTTCCTCAGTGATTGATAGGCTCTGTTCCTATGTTATTTGGTGTCACATTTTAACTTCGCAGTAAACTTCAAGGTAAGCACATTCATCGTGATTTCATAAAACTTAAACTGAAAGGCTGCCTACATACACATGTAAATAACATAATGAATGTCCCTTCTGTATCCTTATCCACCAAAAATATTGTCTTCATTCTTCCATTCCAAGTTTGCAACCCACATTCTTCCCATCCATCCATCCATCCATCCATCCATCCATCCATCCATCCATCCAAACTCCAGTGCTGCCTGAAGTGGCAGAAAAGAAGCTCAATCCAGAGTTACTGGATTTGTGTAATCTGACGTAAAAACCATTCTGGTTGGTTTTACCTTTGCAGCTTGTTAGAAGGAGGAACCTTTTTTTCCTTCCTTCAGTCTTCCAGCTTGTGTGCTGAGGAAGCCAAGTGTCCCCTGGGGTTTACAGACTCTCTGAGATCATGCCAAGGAAGGCCTTCCTCAGAGTCATTCTGCTGCAGTGGGGAGTTCGTGACACAAAGGTCCAATTTCAAGACCTGCTTACTCAGAGAGCCATGGGCCAGTGTGCAAGTGGGTAGTAGTGGGCAACGGCAGTGAAGGTCAGTGAGTAGGGAAGGGGCTGAGATGGGTGCAGGGAAAGCCGACTGCTCCAGCCACCACACCAGTTACAGGGTGTTTTAGTGGTGAGGTGAAGGTTCTTGTGTGAGGAAAAGATTTGATGCTCAAAGCGATGATGATTTTAATGCCACTTACAATATTCAATTATTTATTTCCCAGCTAGTGAAAATGTCGTGATCCATCATTTGTTCCAGTCGAAGCTATCACAGACGGGGTCGCTCATTCCCTCCTGTCCCTCTTTTAAATTCCGAGGACATAAATCCACCCAGCTCAACAGGAAAAGCACGGCTTCTTCTATTATTGGAGAAAACAGGAATTATCTCGAACTCAGTAAGGTAGGGGTTTTGTGACATGTTGGTTGTTATGAAGTTTGCTTACTATATTGGTGAGGCATGAGTTTGAATACCAGCAGGAAGAAATTGATACTGTAGTAGAAAGAATGCCAGGAAAAGATTCATGCCTCAGATGAAGCCATCGGGAGAGGGGCGTGTACAGCAGAGTGTCGGAGTGGGCAATTCGCAGACAAGGGTTGGTGCTCATTTTGCTCTGGAACTGTGTAGCACTCTGTTTACGCTTCCTGTCTGCGGCTCAATGCAGAGGTAACGAACGTCCTTTTCCACAGACTTTCTGAACTCCCCTGTGCAGAGTCCAAGGTCCCCCAGGAACCTGGGGCCAGACGTGTCCTGGGCGATCGTGCTGGTGTCTAGAGATCTCAGCAGCTGAAATGCACTTTAGTTTACTCCCAAAGTCAATGCAGAGTGAGAAGGAACTGCATATCAGGACAGTGTCAGGAGTGTGTGTGTGTGTGTGTGTGTGAGAGAGAGAGAGAGAACGCATACACGTGTGTGTCTGCAGTTTAGAGTAGGGACGCTTTGATTTTGTTGCTGAAGAACTAAGTGATCCCCATATTCTGTCTCAGGGCGCATAATGGCGTCTTATGCCCCAGAGGCAGAGCCCGGCCTGCCCTTGCTGAGAACATCCATGTTGCCGCGGTTTCTCCTGAACCAGCCTGCCCTTTCGTTCTCACTCTCCTGGAAAATCAAGAGCAGGGAATCAGTGCACACCTCTGCACTGTGATGTTTAACCTCAATTATTCAACAGCGTGAGGCCCAGACGCCATTAGTCTTCTCCCTCAAGGACTGCAAGAGGGAGATAATTCACCATTGCTCCTCCACTCAGAAAGGGAAATTGAGTACTCCCTGTCACGGAGTGCAGATTTATTCATTATGCTTCTCCTGCCAGTGCTCCAGCCCTGAGACCCAGAGCTCTTCCCTTCCTGCTGGCCTCGTCCCTGCCCATCCAACTCAGCAGACACGGAAGTGGAATTTGAACCACTCGGCGTCAGAGCATCATGCTTGCCTTGTGTTTCTAGAGAGCAGTGATCTCAGGCCTAGCACTTGCTCTCACGCTCACCTGTCAGTTCAGGTAGTCACTTCAGCCTGCTGGAAGCCAGCAGCGAGTACCAAGTTGACAAGAATGTTTTATCACAACTTTTTCTTACACCAGGACTTTTACGGATAATGATACTGGCTCAAAGGCCAGATTGGTCCAAGTCTGCGAGTTTGTGGAAAGGGTTCATACTCCAATGAGTGAGGTCTCGCTTTGTCCCTGCTTGAGTTAATTCATTATCGTCTGCCTTTTGTTCCCATTCTGGTTGGCCTTTTCCAATTATTTTTAAAATCTCCATTAACATTTAATCTTCGTTATGTATGCTTTTTAAGGAGCCACATATAATTACTTGTTTTCAAAAGCAGTCTATAGTCAGTTCTCACAGCTGAGTAATTTACTAATCCTTTTTAGGAATTAAAGAACAAGGTCAGGCAGAAACACGAGTAAGAAAGTTTCAAATCCAAATACAGTCACTGAATTAGTGAATCTTCCAGCATCAAGTTGTACCATAGCACTGTGTATCTTCGCTGCAAAGCAAGCTCGCTCCGTTTTGTGAAGTGTGAGCGGTTAGTCATGTAACCAAAAGCAGCTGTTGAATTTGTCTTCCTGAGTGAACCACAGGTGTGCTTGTTCTCAGATCATGATGGGAGCAGGTGGTGGCAGGCGTGGTTGATTCGGTGGTTGTGTATTTGGAAGGGTAGCAGGTGCCATCTCACAGGGCTGTCCAATCATCATGTAGTACTGCTTTTTTATCATTACTGCTGCTTTTTTCCTGAACTAAAATCTACTAAAATTAATTCACTGGTTCTTTTTGCTCCTTCCTTCCCTTCACCCTCTGTCTTCCCCTCTGACTACCCATCTTGCTTTCGTCACAGTCACTTAAAAGGAAAGGAACATCTGCTCTTGTGCAGAGACTGGGAAGAGGAGGCCCCAGCACGTCAGCGTCACAGCTCAGGGTGAGTGAAGTTTTAGATTCTGCCGACTTTGGAAAGTCTCCACAGATTTATTGCTCCATTGTTGGGAGCTTGAGCACCTTCAAAAGTGGGCACACCCACACACAGTGAGTGAAAGTGTAATACACCGGGCTAGCGGGTTACAGACAGGGATTTCTAGCTGAGCAAAGCCTGCTTGCCACGTTGGTGCTTCGTTGGGAGAGTCATTGCGTTTTACTTCTCTCCTTAGAAGTCGCTGGTGGATATTATTGGAAAACTCCAGTCGTGCACGCCACACTTTATCCATTGCATCAAGCCCAATAGCTCCAAGCTGCCACATACGTTTGATAACGTCTACGTGTCTGCCCAGCTCCAGTACATTGGGGTCCTGGAAGTGGTGAAGATCTTCCGATGCAGATACCCTGCTCGCCTCTCCTTCTCGGAGTTCCTGTCAAGGTCAGCTCTGCATTCCAGATCACTGTTTTGCCCACAGTTCCCTGTGCTCTGACACTACCGTGCAAGCACGTTTGCCCTTAGTATTTGTCTGTTTTGAGTCAACCAACTATTTGGGGAATCAAGGAAAGCACTACTGGCAAAGCTTAGATGAAAGATCATTAAACTTTTTTGAGCCAGTTTCTCAGAGCCTATTTTTACACTCCCTTAACTTTATAAATTTCCTTGACCTGATAGATTTATAAAATTATTACCTATAAAATTTACAGGAATGCATTTATCATCTAAATGAAGAGTAAATATGTGAACAGATGTAAGAAAAAGCACATGTATATTTTTCTTCTCTATAGCTATAAACAAAATATTTTGCACGTGAGGAGCTGGCAAGTTACACTCATGCATCAAATGCAGCTCACAACATATTTTTGTGAGTAAAGTTTTATTAGAGCATAACCACGAACACGTTCTTTGAGGCTCCCTTCGTGTGGCAGTGGTTACGGAGAATATGCCACACTGCTGAATGTCTGCAAAATATTCGTTTGCCCCATTAGAGAAGAAGCTTGCTGACTCTGCTTTCATACAAATTCAGCCAAGAACCATGTGGTGCACAGGGAGGGCTGGCGCTGCCAGGACACGTGCACACGCCGCAGCTTCCTGCCCGCGAGGTCTGACCTCTCGCCTGCAGTGCTGGATCCCATGGTCTGCAGGGAGCACCCGTTCGCCCAAAGCGGCATGTGTGTGTGTGCCTTGATGGACTTGGAGGCTTAGTCTAGTGTGTCTGATATGAGGAATGCTAGTCAGGCGGTGAGTTGCTGGACGTTAATATTCGCTGTGGACCAGGCTGCCGTGGGACGCTGCAGCGGCTCTGCGTGGTGTCTCATGTCTGTATTGATGTCACTGCACTGCTCCGGATGTCTGGGCTGGGCACAGTGTTGCCACTGCCCCCAGGGGAGCCAGGTAGAGACAGTTTTTCAATGAAGTATTGATTTGGAGAAAATACTGTAAAGGTATGTTCAGCCATTAAAACAGCAGTAATGTGGATAGTCAACCAGAAAGCGAGAAGGGTATTGGTAATTCTGTAGAAAATAAGATGGAAGTTTAAAATGGTATGACTATAAAATATCATCTACCTTATGACCAAAAATCTTAACATTTGTTGCTAAAGTTAATCAGACTGCAACATGTAGAAAAATCTGTTTGGAAAGCTATATATCTAAAGAAGACTCTAAACTTGCTGTTGTCTCATCCAGAAAAACAAAATAAATCAAAATACGTGAATCACTAAATTTGCAACATTTAGTTCAGAACTAAGGGTATATTTAAACTATAAAATTCTGTTTTATGACATTTGTGTTTTCTAGAAGAAAATAGTAGCAGGTGCTTATTATTCATTCTGGTCAACTTTGTGAAAGCACCCTGAAGACAGGGCTGTGTCGAGTTCAGTGTCGTGCCGTCTCGGGATTGCGCGTCCTCAGCACGCACAGCAGAGCCTCAAGCTCGTGGAGAAGTGACTGTTCTGCCTTCGGAGTATCTGTTTCCAGTAGACAAGATACTTGTGTTTACAAACTAAAAGTACTTATAAACCAGAGCTTGGGCATGCTGTCTCTTAATTTATAGGAATGGCTGCCATGTTGAGCATTATAGAGGGACAAATTAAACTGGGAGGCAAGAATTAATTGTGTGGGTTGTTTTGATGGGAGATGTGAGGTCAGTCAGCAGTGACTGCGTGGTCAGGGCCTTTGGGTAAGAGCCGTTCTGCCCTGCCTGTCTCTGTCCCCTTGGTGCCAGTACATTCATAATCTTGAAGGATGTTTGCCAGTTAGTGGAGTGTCTTTCTTCCATTACAAATTATGTATTAAAAACCAGCCTTCCCTGCTTTTAAGAAAGTGTAATCTTTGTGCTCATGAACTTAAAACCTACCAGTATATCCGTTTATAATAATACATTCCCAAACCTACCCTGGAGCACCAGAATGGTAATACAGGAGCGTGGATCCCAAGGAGCCCCTGGCTAGAACCTCCATGTCTGATTTCATGGGAAGCAGGATTAGGTCGACTGCCTTGGGCTCAGGGGTAAGGTAAGGTGCTCTGCCAGGAGCGGGAGGTCCTGGAGCAGCCCAGGCCTTGGTCACTTGTGGTTTGGTTAGCAGTTTAACCCCTTTGCAAGCGCTGCCCAGATAAGCAGTTCCCCAGGATCAGTGCCCACCAGACTCACAGAAGGCACTTGCCAGTGCAGTGTCCAGAACTTCTGTCAGTAAGTACAGGTGAGGCCTGCAGAGAGCATGCCTCCAGGAGCATCCAGGTGAGGTGGGAGGTGCTAGTGCAGGGTGCATGGCCCCTGGAGAACCTCCAGGCACCAGTGCAGGGTGCATGGCCCCTGGAGAGCCTCCAGGCACCAGTGCAGGGTGCATGGCCCCCGGAGAGCCTCCAGCCACTTTGGAACAACAATGCTTCGCTTTGTTTCCACCCAGCCCAGCACTGAAAGTACAGCAAAGCCTAGACAAGCCAAGTGGACTTGCAGAGAACATAAAACCCCCAGGTGGTTCCCGCAAAGCCTTTGGGAGTTTCATGAATCTGCAGCAAGCAGTTGTCCCGGTGGCCTGCTCCCCCAGAAGAGGGTGAGGAGTGTGACTGCGTATACAGTGCTCTAAATCATCATGGTTACAAAGTGTGTTTTTACCCTTTTGTATTAGTAATATATTGTGTTAGGACTGAACTTTGTTAAGCAACCTTTGTTGACATATGCAGATAATAGCTTAAAATCAGATACAGTTTTTCAAATGCATGCATTTCTTAATAATTTCTTCTAGGCAAGTACTACATCTTACTCACGATGTTGTGCCTTGTAGATGTTTAATGAATGTCTTCAGAGTAACCCGGTGTTGGAGATTAGTGGTTGTTCAGCCAGACAGAGAGCAAAGTAATGCCTTGAAAAAGTAGGGTAAGGCTGGGAAATGATAGCCTTCAGCCATCTTTAGACTCCTGTTAACATTCCCCCACTTGAACTGAAGGCGACTTCTGGTGCCTGAGCTGCATGGGTGGCACAGGGATGACTGCGTGGGGGTTGCCACCCTCTCTCTGCAGTGAGGACAGTTTGGAGTAAATGGCAGAAGAAACCCTGAGCCAAGGGGGGTGATTGGTGTCTGGACACTCGAACGAAATCCAACCAATATGCGTTCTGTCTGGAGGGAACCTCACTGAACACTTCTAGAGCCTCCCAAAAGCTCACCACAGCATTGAGGTCATCACAGATGACTACAGAGCGTGAGAAAAAGAATCCAGTTGTCAGTTACCACAAAGGTCTCAGAACAACAACAAAAAAACAAGATGTGGTGTTTTTTCAGTTTGGAAACACTGTTTGTTGTTTCTCGAGTCCAAATGGTGATAAATCCGGGTCATGGACATTTCCTTCAGATCCCTAGGTCATAGCGATTCTGCAGACCTACACAGTGGTGTCCTGGCTGGTGTAACTGACTGTCATTCAGATTCTCGGGTGGGCAAGAGACCCCTGTGTTGACCAAAGGTGGACGTGAGCTTGTTGATTGGTTCCCCAGGTGTGTTGTTTGCAAGGCAGCTTCTGGGTGGGATGGTGAGGGTGCTAGGTCCTGCCTTCCGTGGTCAGGCTTCACAAGCCTGGTTCTGTAGGAACAGCGAGAGGGGCAACAGAACGATTACTGTGTGTCACCACAGTGCGTGATCAGATTACCCGTGGCTGCAGACTGAACCCAGGGAAGGGCTCTAATCAGGTCACTGGGGTTACATCATGTCGTAAGAGTGTCTCTGTGATGGTTAAGATCAACATCCTTGTAGGAAGAGACACCAAAATCTGTCCCATCCCTCTATGTCATTCCTCTTCTCTCTCTCTCTCTCCCTCCCTCCCTCTCTCTGTCTGTCTCTTTCTCATTCTGCCTCCTTTTTTCAGCAAGTCAAGTGTGAACAATCAGAGCTTGCAGAGCTGAGGTTCATCTCCCTTACCTGTGACCTTGTGCTGCAGTCTGGAAGTAGCCCATCTAACCATGCGCCACTCTTGTTCCATTCAGGGTTAGCGATGGCGCAGTTCTAGGATATAACTCATGTTGTGTCCAAGGGGAAAAGGGAAATGAGTGACCAAACACACAACAAAAAGTCAGATTTGTCGACCTCTAGACCAAGAGCTGTTCCTGTGTATCACACCAGTCAAAAACAAACTGACATGAAACAGCAGTTTAAATGACTCCGGTTCTGTGAGTGGACTGGAGCTACGGAGGAACGATTTTGCTTGACATCTACTCTGCAGCTGCAGCCAGATAGCTGGGGAGATTGGTTTTGCTAAGACCTGGCTGGGCTGGGAACATGCAGCTGTTTCTTCACTGCTGTGTTTGGTGCCATCCGCCTATGGCCTCGTCTCTCGAGCAGAATTTCCCAGACTTCTATCCGTTGAGTCAAGGTTCCAAGACATAGAACACTGCCCTACCCGCTGGTCAGAGCAGTGCAGATCGTTTCCAATGGAGGGAATCAATACTGTGTCACAGGCTCTTCCTTGCAAAGAGCATGCCTATCTGGGGACTGTGACGGTCTTCCACAGTCCCACTAAGCTTTGACTTGCTGTCACTTCCTTCTGTCTCCAGTAAGAAGAGCATGTTAGTTCAATATGTGCATATATGATTGTGCTGGAAAAATGGATCTGAGAAGTTGTTCAAGGAATGTGGTGTAGACACGTCTTGTCTGCACCAGCTATCTTCCCCAAGTTCTCTAATAGTCGGTATGCTTCTGACATTGTAATACTTTTTCTTCAGTTCAATGATCTGGAACTGGGCCAGTTCTTTTTGAAATGCCAACCTTTCTCTCCAGGATCTGGGGGAACTGTCTTGGGGGCTAACCCTGGTCATGGGTGGCAGGCTCCAAGGGGCCATACCCCTTGCCCATCCAAGGGATTGTTTATGGTTGGCTGGGTGGGGGTAGGATAACCTCACAGGATGAAAAGGTTTACTCTTCAATGAGATAGACAATGAGATACAGGGTGCT